TGTCTTGATGGCCAAGTTTTACGTGCCACTCCTGCAATGTGCTCTCCAACTTTGCTATTCCAGGTAGTACTCGCGGCTTGTAGGGCTGCGATTGACCGCATTGCACAATTGTTGTCTCTCTTTGACTGTTTTATTTTGAACCTAGTATTCGCCATCGATTGCTCCAGCCACAAACGCGAGCTCGTTGTTCACAAGAGCAAATTTGAACTCACCAGTTTGTAATCCAAATGTATCGCACCCATTTCGCTGTCCAGTATTCGCGAAGAATGATCGACGTTGGATGTGGTACAAGTGCCATATTCTCAAAAAGCAATGGCTTGACCCCTCGTGGGCCATGCAGCTACAGCTTAGCCGCTTCAAGGTGTGTATTAGAATGCTTAGCCCTTGTGCAAACGTGTATCCAGTGTCGGGCGGCATCTCGACGACCTTTGACTCCTCATCGGTCAGACAGAATCCGCAGCCTGAGTCCAATACCTACGAGTTTCTAGTTATACATGTTCCTGCTTCAAGCAAATAAGGATACAAAGACCATATCTTATCCTCCAGCTGCATTTTCTGCAGACTGAATTGGCCTGCAATCAGTTCTTCGCCTGGCGACGTCGGCATTTGGATTTCGTCGACGTGCCCTCCGTTAGCGCCAATCGACATCACAGCATCCATTAAATCGCCCGTTTCGTGTGTGTCGAACTTACGGTCGCGGCCTGTGTTGGTGGAATTTCATGGGAGGGCTGGGCTGCCTGAGGCCACTGGATCCGTGGTCTAATCCATGTGCATGGTGCTACATGCATCCACTGATACGTTCGTCGACAGACGTTTCTCTGTCGGAACAGGCGTCTTCTGTGTGTCCTTTCCCTTCGCATTCGAGTTGGACTTGCCCTTCTCATCTTTGGCGTCGACTATTGGTGACCGCGCGCCATCTTTATCGAACCAGGTTACGACCAAATGTTGCTCCGGAAAACCTGGAGCTACAGATCTCGATTTCTCTTGGCGCAGTGCTGCTTGAAGTGCTGCCCACCACTGATGTCGCTGTGCACTCCAACACAATAGAGGCACGACATAATGCCGGTTTTGCTAATGTTGACGCGAGAGTAGACTACCTAGTCCAGTCCGGTGGTTTTAGCAGATTTAACGGATTTTGCATCGACATGATTTACAGATGCCCCGTTGCCCAAAACCTGGATTTGAGCGTTTCTCTTGCTCATAAAAATTGCGCAGCGTTTCGACTCCACCTTATCCTGTGTGAAATCCTCCAGCGTAAATACGATTGCGGAGCCCCAAAGTTGTACAGGAAGTACCGCCAAAATCTTGATCAGCATCATCTTCTGCGAGATCAGTCCAACCTTCAACGAGTCAGTGCTGTTACGGCTCACCTTCTCTCTAGCAACCTTAAATTGCTGGAAGAGGTAGGAAACGTTTGTGAAGTCAGAGGCGGCAATCGTTTCAATTTTTTGTAGTAACTCGATAAGCCCCGATGCCATGTTCAGTCCATTGCGTTTTTTTTTCTATGGCACGCCCAATCTTATGAACCAGCCTCTGCATCAACCTCTCGTCAGACATCTGATGGAGTAAATCCTTGATGTACGACTATGGCTGCCTGACAAACGCCCTTTGCAGCGCTTTCTTCATCCGAACCCTCTTGTCCTGTCTCTGGTAGGTCAGGTTCTCTCTCGATCGCATCCTCATAGCAGGCAACAGGAGCGCAACGATTCGCCTGAAAATCGTGACGACTAGCGCGTCGCTGAGCGCGACCAGATGAGCCTTGACCTTGTCTTTCCACCCGGCTAACAAAGCCTTCTTGAGGTGGAAGGCCAGATTAATAGCAACAATTTGGCTATATTTGCTTATCTTACTGATCTAGCTTCAAATTGTGCTTTCCTAAAAAAACTTTAGATAGACTCGCTACGCATGTACTTTATTCTGTTATTCCTCGCTGCTCTTTTCTAGATGATGTGCTCAGTCGGAGGCAAATTGGGAAGTGAGCATGCCTCCGCACTGCGCACGAGACGGCTTCACATTCCTTTGCTTGCTGTCGTCATCGCACTATGTACCCGGATCATACCATCTGTGATCTGCACTGAATCGCTTCTCGTATTTGATAATGATAGGTACACAACGCCTAAAAATGAAGTTCTCTCATTCAGTTATTTATTTCTTTAAGAGGCAAGCAGGTTTTCTGCTGTCCCTCCGCTCAACACAAACGCCTGTATGTTTAGCAGCACTTAAGTGGTGGAGGGGGGGGGTTCTAGACCCTTTTGGGGGTGTATCTTAGTGTCCCTATGTGAAGCTATAAGAAAATTATGAGGAGCCAAATACCACTCAATGTTTTCTAACCCAGTTGACGTTAAAGCACCCCCATGTACTGGAGTCACATTTAAATATCAAACAAAACCCCCACCATCAACAACAACAACACCAGCAGCGAGCCTATTTTCTACTCGGAGTATCCGATGTGTTATGGTGCATTTTGATGCTTTTGTCATTTTCACTTAGCCTACAGCTCGATTTTTATTTAATAGAGGTCGATTTTTTAAATCGGGGTTTTTAAATGACAAAAATTGATCGGCTGATAAATCGAGCTATGGCAGCCAAATTAACCGCCAATGATCAATCACCCACCAAATCCACATCGATATCCTGTGAATCGACCCTTTTTGCCGTTTCGAAATGGTAATTTGATAACATATATAACAAATCTATGTCTCTTCCCATCTCAATTTTACGCGTGGTTTTATGCTTCGACCATGTTCGATCTAGTTTTTGAAACGGATGGACAATCCATCTGCAAAGCACAATAATGAGAGTGTCTCCCTGCACAGTATTTAAAAAGGTCATTTCGGTGGGGACAAATCTTTTGGTTGTCTTCGGATGTGCATTTTGATCCTCGGATGTTCACCCGGATGCAGACCATCATTCCTAAAGTTTAATGGCTGTCAAAAGTCTTCCCCTCCCCAGTCAAAAGAATCCCAGCGGTCCAAAACGCAGCACGGGTCCGACGTCTGCTGTATCGACGTCCGCCATGCCACGCCACCAGCCCCGTTACAGCGAAGGGAGTGACGAGGACCTAGCAAGCGTTGCGTCAAGATCTAACAGCGACAGCGAATCCCGCGACATTGCAGTTCATTCAAACTCACGGAAGAAGAAGAAGAGATTAAGAAGGCATCCTACCGCCCGAGATCGAGCGGTAACCAAGCGAAGAAAGCAATTGCCTCATCGATTATCCTCGCGTCGCCATAACTCTTCTAGACGCAGAAATGAAGAATCATTGAACGTTCAGGATTCGTCAGTAGAATCCGAGCACGATAAGGGATCTCTTTCTTCATTCGCATCAGACTCTGATGCTAGCAGCCAAAATTCGTCCGATTCGAAAACAAAAGGATGCGACGGAGGTGACATCGCTCCTCAAGACGAATTAGTGGACGTACCGGATCTGGATGTGACGGCGTTCGACAGCTGGGACGCGTTGGAGTCGTATCGGAAGGCATACAGCAGGAAAACATTCCAGGTTTGTGCTGCTTAGACTGTGAGACAGTCTGAGACTGTGAAACAGTATCTGAAATCGTACTAAAGTCTTACTGTGATCCAATTTGCCCTTCTTTTCGTTGAGCTCCAGCTTTATGGAGTGCATGTCACTGGACTGGACAGTGAAAGCGGTATCAGACAAGCGATGGAATTCTTCCGGTACAGATACTTAAGTCTTATATTATCGTCAGTGTAAGCTTTTTTTGTAGTTAATATTTGTCAATGATTCATTGTAAAAAGAATGATATCGACCGGTGTGCATACATATGAAAGGCTTTACGAAGCAGGGAGTGACATTGCGGCGAGGCGAACACCGCGGTGAAGCCGCTTGAGTGGTGCTTAGATAAGTTTAAAAAGTCGAGTTGCCGCCACACTCACCGACAATCACTCTGGTTTTTTCATACGTTCTTGTACCCGAAGATGCACTTGTTTTGGTCGCTAACGTGCTAGCCTTTCCGAGCACATGGATCAGCAATCTGCGCGAAGAGAACATAATATAGCCGAGACTGTGGATCGGCTGCACAGTCTAAATTTGAGACTGTGCAGGTAGTCTCTGCCCACAATAATCGCACATGTCATAGGTTAAAGTGAGTCCGCACAATATGAACTCATTATAATACATTTTGTGGATTGTAAAAACCGATTCTTGCCGCATAATCGTTGGTTGAGAACGACCCAACACAAATGAAAGTACCTTCAGCAAATATAAACTGGAGCTGGACGTTCCACCAAGTAATGCTTTGTGTTGTGTGTAGTATAGCAAAGCGGGTAATGTAAGGTGAACACTTGCTTGTGGGTAGAGATCTAATATACAAACTCTAGGGCGTTCCGCTCTTTTTTGCATGGAGCCAGCTCCTCAATCCATTAATGTAGCAATACATGTTAAAAATATTATTGGCATTTTTGCTAATACTTGTAGGTAGTTGAGTCAGTTGACAGCCTGTCGGTTACCTAGAATAGGTAAAAAGAATGTTGGAAGCATATGATTGACTGCAAGTGTGATAGACGAACGCTAAAGAGTACGCAAATGTAAGAATACATTTAGACTAACTGACGTTTAGCTTTACTTGCAGCTCCAAGTGACCTCCTTCAGATGCGTGAGGCACCCACAGAAGAAGTGAACCACCTCCTGTGCCCGGAAGGCCTAAAATCCGGGACGCCAACGGTCCATGTACAGTGTCCTACCTGCTAGTGCTGTAACGTTGGATATCCACTGGGCGCTGCCCCCAGCTTTGACTTCATCGATCTTGTCACCACCAGACATGATGTTCACCGTCACGTCTTTCGTGTCCGTGCTATTAAAGCTGACGAGAACCGCCCCATCTCCTTTGCGCTTCCAGAACAGTGTAGTATTCTTAAAAGCCCGTTGAATCATCGTCAGGCCGAGTGTTTTGGGATCCGTTCCGTCGTCGATTTCGCCATAAAAATCGTAGGCCCACAGATTGTCTGGAGATATGAAGCAATAAGACCCATTACTCCAATCATATCGAAACCGGTGACAGCGATTGAGATGAGTGTCTTTTCGAATGCTTGGTACATGAAGTAATTACCATCCTCATCAGAGCCGTTTTTGCTCTTTCCTTTAGAAACGAGATCTTCGACCATACCACTGAAAGCCGTGCGGATTGTTTCACGAGTTTTGTAAGCTGTAGCTTCGTCGGACTCCTTAATCAGCTGCTCCATGCAGTTGTTGGTGACGATACCAATGTCAGACCTGACTAGTCGGGTGTTCTGCATCTTCAGTCGCAAATTATCTTCTGAAATGCCGGGGTTGTCGATTTTCAGTTGGTTTACAGTCCTCCATGTACGATCAGTCAGCGACCTCAAATCATATCCACATGTTGACTTCGACTTCATCGCGTCACTTAAAGTGCCAATCTCGGTCTCATTGATCGAGTTCGCGGCTTCTGTAAAATTAGCCCCAATAAGGAAAGCCTTGAACCGGGACCAACTCGAGAAAAGATTTTCCTTGTAGCCGATAGCGTTCAATAGCATCCAGTTGATTGTTGACAGCATACGGCCGGAAACATCAAGTGTACGGGTTGGAAATGACCCAAGCAGAGGTACATAGCCATCGGCAAATCTGTGACCACGTTGTGCGATTGATACCAGGCCTCCGAGAAAATAATATCAATACCGCAATTACTACCTATTTGTTATTATACTACGGATTATTGTTTTTTCGGGATAATAACAAATATAAAGGCTTACCGTTCGCGTGGCTTGCAGCCACCCATTCCTCTCCACCAGCCATTTTTCAGCGCCTCGTCCACTTTCAATCTTTGAAAAGACGGTCATTCTTGATTTACATCATGTCGTCCCAGCAACTCGCCGCTTTCTTCTACACCGCTCTCGAGCCTGGGCTCTACCGGTGCAACATCTGCGAACAGCCACGCAAGCAAGCCCAGCGCCCAGGCTACACAAACCTGATCTCTCACCTGAACTCGAAGCATCCCACTCACGGCGAAGAGTATGCTGAGTATCAGCGCCGAAACCTGACCTCCCTCGAGGTTTTTGGATTCGTGGACGAAACGACGACTCACATGTACGACTGGCTACGCTGGATTGTCGAGCGGAATCTCCCTCGTGCGAGGTTGAGAACCCACTAACGAGACAGTTAGTTCGCATGAAGCCTACCTCAGCGGAGACGCTGAAGACCTACATGCAACGAGTCGCTGAACGTGTCGGCAACACCATCGCCGAGGAGATGGGCGAGTGTTTCGGTGTTATGTTTGATGGATGTAGCTCTTGCTCGCAAAAATACACTGAATATTGCGGCATTGCGGATTATTGTTTGTCTTGATACGCCACTATGTATTGCTGATGCCACAGCTGCCTGCGTATACTGCCTATTGTATTTTAGGAGGCCTGATTGATACAGAGTGTTCATGATCTTGTCCGTCGAGGCTGTCGGATCCGTGGTCTTGATGTTACGGATATAACGGATAATGGACCTCATCGTGCCGATCATGATGTTTGCGCATTCAAAAGCTAATCGCACGCCATCTGATACATGCAACAGCTTCTGAAAGGCACCGAAAGCAGCAATAGCCATCACCGAGTTTCCAACGGCACCGATCTTATTAAGCGTCTCCATCGCGCAGTCATCGCTCTGGCGGATGCATTGCATGCCACATTCTACAGGGTAGGCGAGCGGACACTCTGCCCAGCACGTGTTGGTAGCTCCGTTGCGATCAAAGTTACTCGGGCAGGTGTCCATAAAGTGAGCTTCACGGTAGCACGCGCCGTCCGGAGACACGGGGTGTGGCCCAACCCAGTTTCGATACTCCGACGTCACAGTGCTCGTCGCCTCTGTCACTTTGGGAATAGTCAAATCCAGCTTGTCTGTGTATTCATCCATGGCAGCACTGGACGATGTAGCAGACGTCAGCGTTACGTCATATAGAGACGAGTAGATATTAGATGATGAAGATCCCGACGTTCGTATTCTTGATACAGTGGCAGGTAAGTCTGGAAGTCCTGGTGAACTTGTTGATGTGATTTTAGCTGGGATTAGTGTAGCGCTGTCATTGTCATCGTTCCATAAGGTCCAATCGATCGCTAAGCTATTTACAAGGCTTGAGGCAACCACCAAAACGACGAAAATTCTTCTGCATTGGGTCATGACTCCTGCCCAGACAGTAACGTTTAATTATACACGCGACTTTGGTCTCGAAACGTGGGAGGCTCTGGTTGTTAAGTTGTCCGGTGCTGCGGGGGCCTTGGTTGCGATGGTGACAACGATTGTGACTCAATTCGAGCCATTTGTAGCCACCCTGTCCAGCCTGGACTCCCGGACTTCGCGTACTTCAAGTTGATGGATTGTAAATACGGTTGTTACAAATTAAACTGGGAAAAAAACATTTACCTAGCCCTGATACGTTGAATCGAGTTCAGTGAACTCAGTGATCTGCTCACTGCTTACAAGTAATTTAATAAATACAAAGCCTTGAAAATCAGCTTCCTTCTTTTGCTACGAAACGCCACACCGACGAGCATAAGAACGACTGCTTTTTTTTCACTTCCAATCTCAGAAGGCTATCTTGTGTAATTTTCAACCCCTTGGGCCCAAGTTGGTAAACGCCCATCAGGGTTTCTATTCCTGGCCAATGGGAACGCTGTTTATTTTCAGACCCGGGCCCCTTAGTAATTCAAGTGGTTGTGCATTGTAATGTTAGGATTAGAATCTAATCCGGGATCGGGGCCCGATTCCGGGCATGTTGCAGAAGATATTGTTTATCTTACGCACACGAGAGTGCACGCAAGTTTACATGTATCCGTCTAAAGCATACTAAATGCCCGGTCACATAAAGTAAAGTCCGGATGTCTCACAATCATGTGCTATCCGGTCACTGTTTTTCCTTAAAAATAGATGGAAATACAGCGTTAAGATAAAAAAAGTCATCGATTTTGCGAGTTGTAGCCAACATATGTCCACTTTGCATTGCGCTCTGAGCCAATTTTAAAACCCCTTATTATCTTTGAGGCCAAGTATCCTTAGCAAAGTGCTCCTGAGGGTCCCTTGACCGGAAACTTGCTTCAGCACGGATACTGTGTTTATTTTCTTAAAATCTAACATGTTAAGTACATATGTAAGCCGGTTTCTTCGAGGTACTTAACAAGTAGGAACTTACTAGTGTAGGTAGACTTGGTCAATATATTATCCAGGACTTCCACTACTACGCTATCATAGATCCGCTTCCGAGTCTGGGTAACACCTGGTCGGGCCAACCTTCTAAATGCTAAAAAAATTGGAAATACCAAAAAAAACGAACTAGATTCTAGAGAAAAAGAACTAACGACAGCACTCTTTCACAGTCAATACAGATTTCAACTGTCTTTATAGCTTAGATTCGAGCATTTTCCCTTCGAGTTCAGGCTTAGCTGAGATACTTTAAAGTACAAGTACTGGACAATTACCACGAACTGTTTTCGTACTCTTGACTTAAGAAAACAAGTATTATACCTAATTGCAGCGAATTACCTTACATTCAATACTTTCTCGAGAAAAGAAAATTATGTAACATTAAAATGAAGGTCAAGTGCCAAATGTACTACACATTGTAGGAGGTTGATAAGGGATAAAAAGAAGTTTGGATTGACAAAGAGTAAGTGAAAAAGAACTGCAATGTACGTCCTGCACGTCGAAAGGCCTTTCGTAATCCGAGTCGGACGGCTGGTTTTCTGCTAGGACTTCGTCACGTGGCAGTTCCTATAATACGTAGGTACGGGAAGGCACTCTTGAGGTACGGTTTTTGTACTGTACATGTACTTCTGTACATCTTTCGAATAGTTTCCGATGATGTGGTGGAGCCTCCACACGTGGAGTGGATACAGTAAACTTAGTGTCATCTCGGAAATGTTGAATCCATTTTAACCAGTGAAATTATCTGGTGGTGAGATGATGCACAATGACAGCAGCTAAATACATGTATGAAGCTTAAATCGGATCCCAACCACGTGGATATTGACCAAAAATGAGCTGCTAGGTCACAAGAGCAATATTATCCAATACCGGTAGAGAGCTACTTCGAGTGGATTGACCAATAACATCCTATTTTACCACATGGTATCGTTGAAAAGCTGAAAAACTGAAGTTTTCCGCTAATCAGGGCACGTGGAGAAAACCAGCTAAGCGGTCAGAGTAAAACAAAAGTAAAAAGTGGACATAAGAAAGTCACATCATAATCGTATAGAATAGTGCACTTTGATCAAATTCCGACTAGGCGGGATTTAGTCGCCATACAAACATGAAGTGAGCCAGCTTCCTGCACGTCTTTATTGTGCGCTGGTTTTTGCTCGTATCGATCAAATCCGGAGGAAATGCCCTAAGTTACAGCTGAGAATTTTGGCAAGGAGATGTACGATGGTGGGATTGTGACTCTAAAAAAATTGAGTATACAGTACGTGTGTATACTGTACGATACTGTACGTGGTGACTTGATTAAAATATGAAAACCTCTATAAAAGAATGTTGTCCCAGTTGCGAGGCGAAGGCGACCTATTAGCTAAACTCCACGTTATGTCGTATCAATATATGGTCTACACATCGTACTTTCCAAATAACCTTAGTTATGCAACACACCTGATCTGCAGTATTTGTCTGATCGAGTGATATAGTCGTAAAAAGGGCGATGTCTACTAAAATCCGCCAGTAAAAACTGAACATTGTATTGGTAAAAAGTACCATTGTACTGTCTTTTGTATTCTCTGCCTTTTACTTTTTACCCTCAATCCGTATAATCCGACAAATACGGTATATGTAAAAGAGAAATCAATACAAACAATAAGTTTAATCTGCGGGAAAAAGTCGATGCAAGATTGGTTCCATTTGTGACCTCTGATTGGCTGGATTATGGTGTTTGTCTTAACAAAGAGTATTTCATGGCTACAGTAAGGTTATCCGGTAAAACATCGTTAATTTATGTTTTGCCCCATTTTCAATACTGAGATTAGCCGGAGTGTCTGTGTGTGTAGGTGTGTTATTGTACTCGTCACAAGTCCTTCGACCAAAATGTAGCCATCTGTTATGAAGATTCAGCATCCCAAATCCTATAGCAACAGTTAGATATAAGGGGTAAAATCGAGCGTAGATTTCAAAAATGTGGTCAGAATTAGCTGATTCGCAGTCGTTTTTGCGCTACAAGACTATTTTTAAACTCTTTCCAGATGCCCCAGATTTACGGGAAACGGGTTGCCTTTGAGGCGGTCATTTGATTGGGCAATTCCCAAAACCACATGGATTTGCGCAAGAAAGTACAAGAAAGTACGCAACTGAACAGCAGCAAATCCGATTACTATTGTAACGATTTGAGTGCAAGGAAAAAACAAATATTTATTTAAACAGGCACCTTATTCTTCGCTCTGCTGGGTCGTAATCACGCTTCCTTCCGCGTTGATTTCACATATTAAATAATAGAGGTTAACGTTAATTAGCTGATAAGGAACATGCACCACTAAATGGCTGATGTGCACCTCAAACTTGGTCTCATTGTCGGCTCTGTAGGTGCTCGTCACAGTCGTAACAGTGCCGTGTGCTATCTGTAGACACTCAGCAACCAGGTCCCGGGTTCGCTGCCCTCTGAAGAGGCCATCTTCCTTAGCTTTGAACATGAAGTCTAAGCACCGTACTACGTAATCCTTCTGGCCTGGTGCCAGCTCTTGCTGCGAGGTGCTTGGCTCAGACATGTTAGTAAGGACGCAAATAGCTCACTAGATGCACGAGATGCTAAGGAACATTTACGTAGGCTCCTTGTTCTATTTTGGTGCCAGCTCGAGAAGTTTCGCCTTTTCAAATGGCATGTTAGAATAATCGTCCAACGTTCATTGACGAGTACAATAGCTATCATTTGGAATGTACACACATATACGTTAGGGTCTTTCTGTGAAACATTTTGCAGCATGATACTTTCGTCCTTAGTTTCGAAGTCAATATCTAGTTTTTTTGTAACTAGATCTTTCTTTTCATGTTTCTGGTTTTTTTCTCGCAAGCTTCTATTAGTTAGTACCATTATGCAAGCTTTTATTAGTAGCACTGCCATAGTATCTTTAACATTTAAAAAAAACGAAGCACCATTTTTTTATCGCACGCTCCCCAAAGGATTAAGAGCTTTAAGTGGAGCGGCAAGACAGCAACACAACAGCATGAGAGGTGTACATGCTGGTTGGCTAGCTTGAGCTCATGAGAAGCACGAGCGTGAAATTCATAATTGACCAAATACTACTAATAATCAAGTAAGAATGTTTTTTGTTAGATTCATGACCAAAACGCACTTAACTGGTCGTTGACCTAATTTCACCAACACCGGAATCACGCTTTGGTCATTGGCACTATTGTATTTGCCTAAGGTTGCCCAATGTTGAACATACATTGTGAGATCACCGATCTTCGTCGCTTTGTCCACCGCTTCGTTCCGACACCCCTTCCTGGGCGGTCAACCTGATAACAGCACGAACTTACGCGGCCCCTTGGTTTGTAGTGTAAGGAGGAGCCTCGGTAGAATTTTCGCACGTATATCGCAGTGCTCTACGATGAGCACTGGGTTCTTATGCGAAGCCCTTCACAAATGTGCGACGTGTGTCAACGACTTCACGTATCCTAGCATTCAAACTTAGCAATGACAGCTTTCGTGTAGCTCCGGCTATTCACGTATATTTAGTCATATCGCATTTAACCTCTCCTCGATGCCGAGCATCTCTGTTATCGTCTATAATGCTACCACAAACTCGGGCGGCACAGATGACAGTGCAACGCCCGCTTGCTTCTCGTACAGCCACGCTACTAATACTCATGTCACAAGGAGCACCCCACCTGTCATCGACTATCTATCGCGCTTGGCTAACGCGTAGTCAACGTCAGTG